CCCCCCCTCCCCCCCCCCCCCCTCCCGAGTTTCCCCTTCCTTCAGTTTGGCCAGCACCAAGCAGATCAGGCTGCTTTGGCACCAGCCCTCTCGGAGGCTCTGACCTTTCCCACAGGGCGTCTGTCTACGAGCTCAGTTAGTCGTGGGAAAGGAGAACACCCCACAGAGGCTCTTCCTGGTGCTCCTGGACGTGACTCTGAATTCGCTCTCTCTCGCTGACCTCAGGAATTGAGACTCCCTGCAGCAAAATCGTGTGTGGGGGGGGAGGTGTCTCTGAGATAGCCCCTGCCCTGCAGTCTGTCCCACCTGGCTGTTGTCATGGATGCTCTGTGAGGTCACCGCCTCCCAAACTTCTTTAGCCAATAAGCTGAGGGGCTGCAAAAGGCCTTTGTGATGTCACTGCCACGCCCAGCAAAGCTCATGTCCTAGGCAGCCCCTTTGCATGGTTGAGCTGCTCCCCAGTATTACCCCCCACACACACACTCAGGACTAGATCTGGGCTAAAGCCGGCTGCCCGTGGAAACATCAGAGGCTGCTCAGGGCCACACACAATTGGCAGCTCCCAGGCCGTGTGTACAGCACAGCAGTGAGTTTGGTCCAACGCACACACCAGAAAAGCATCTGGCCTGCCCTGGCAGACACCCAGGGCTGGAGACGGGGCTTGATTCTTTGCCATGAGGCAAACGGCTCGTTCGCCCTGCCCAGGGGCTCGTTCTCCCTGCCCAGGGGCTCTGGTCCTGAGACTCAGCGTGGGCAGAGGAATCACCTTTTCCTCCTTTAATCTGGGGCATGAACACAGAGCACCCTGCCCTTCAAGCCGTATGGCCCCAGCTCCTTTCTGCCAGAGGCCCCACAACCAGCATTCCCAGCCCCCGGCCAGTCAGGACCTTGGGCAGAGAAGGGTGAAACGTCATTCACTGTTGAAAGTGGCTGGTGGCTCCCTCCAGGCAGCCTGCATGAAGGACTTCACATGCCCCTCTGCCCCCAGGCCCCAACTGGCTTTGGGTCAGGGGAGCGGTAGGGAGGCCATGGGCCAGATCAAACGACTTGGCAGGCTGTACCCGGCCCGTGGGCCATATTTTGCCCACCCCTGGACTGGGCACACATCACCTGAGGACAGGAATCAGAGAGAAGGTTTCCTGACACCTTCAGGGATTGCATCTTGGAGCAGCTGGTTCTGGAACCCGCAAGACTCAGTTCTTGATTTGAACAAGAGGCCAGTCTTGATTTAGCCCCAAGCGGAGCAGAGGATCTGCTCCAAGAGGTGAATCCAGCCGGACCACTTGTAAATAGTGTCCATAAATATAAATGTGACATCCCTCCGGTGGGGAAAACACCTCCGCAGCCCAAGAACGTAGCATTTCATTTCAGACAGGGGAACTACAGAGCAATGAGGAGGTTAGTTAAGCAGACATTAAAAGGTGTAGCACCCCTCTCCACCTGGTTACCTTCTTTAAGGCCAATCTCCTTACAGGTTTTGATGGAGAGGTCTGGGTTCTTCTGCATCCCGCCACCCACTCAACTTTATTTTTTCCAATGGATTTATTTGGCGATGCCTCCACCCCCCTCACTCCTTCCTGGCAGGGTCACCAGGGCAGCTTGGGAGGAAAATTCTAACCCAGGGGAATCCCCACATATTTGCCAACTAGTTGGAGACTCCCAGAAAATAACACAAACACATAGGCTGTGTCTAGACTGGCCAGTTTTTCCGGAAAATCAGCTACTTTTCCAGAAAATCTTGCCAGCTGTCTACACTGGCCGCTTGAATTTCCGCAAAAGCACTGCGATCTCATGTAAAATTGTCAGTGTTCTTGCGGAAATACTATGCTGCTCCCGTTCGGGCAAAAGTCCCTTTTGCGCAAAAGGGCCAGTGTAGACAGCCCGGATTTGTTTTGCGCAAAAAAGTCCCGGTTGTGAAAATGGCGATCGGGGCTATTTGGTGGAGAAGCGCGTCTAGATTGGCACGGACACTTTTCTGCAAAAAGCGCTTTTGTGGAAAAGCGTCCGTGCCAATCTAGACGCGCTTTTCCGAAAATGCTTTTAACGGAAAACTTTTCCGTTAAAAGCATTTTTGGAAAATCA